TGTTAAGCATACTCGGCAGCCCTCTGGATGTAGTATATGTAGATAAAATTAAATATTTTTTCTCCCTGGAGTTTAGCTTTAAAGTGACAAAACTCAGGAATTAAATCGTAAAAATGCCTTCAAGTACCTTAACTATTAACAAAAATGTATCTTATTTTGTGTATCACTCAGCTGTAGATTTTCAAATCATCTCTGAATTGGTGATGTCACTTGAGATTGTAGTCTATTACGGGTGTGAGCTTGGAGTGGTGACTACTTTACAACACACACAGCGACCATGGGGAACAAACGTAGCCACACTCCAGAAGGAAGGACAGTGTCAGCACGAGTTCAGAGATGATTTGAGGCTCTACAGCCGAGTGATACACAAATAAGATACATTTGTGTTAATAGTTAAGGTACTTGAATGTATTAAGATTTAACCCCTGAGTTTAGTGTCAGTTTAAAGTATAACTAGGCAAGATCGCAAATGTTATTAATGATGCAGTCTGGCAATAGAATTAACATTGCAGTGTTTTGTTTTTCCTTAGTCACTTCACAACCTAATTTTATGATCTGTTGATGCTGCCAGTATATCTGTTTTTCCCTTCCTTTAACAGTGGAAATAACAGATACCTGTACAGGGGGCGTCGTATCGCCCGGGACATTTAGTTTCGGGCAAGTGCTTTCTTCACTGTTTTAGACCTGCTACGGACAAGTAGCAGGGCTGGTTTTCTTTTCTTAAAATGAGCGGCGCTGCGAGCAGGGGTGAGGGGGCGTGGAGTAGTGACAGGCTCTGTCACCTCCCTCAGCCTCTGTTCTCGGCAGCCGCTGCTCGTTCCTGTCACAGGAGTTCTAGCAACAGTGCGATAAAGTAAAAATAATAAAACGAAAATGTTTTACAACGTAAATAAAAATGGAAAAAAACGGTCGCTGCCCCTATCTGCATGCAAATAAACGCACAGTGTTTAACTGCGATCGTGTGCAACCGCACGGGCAGGGCTGTATTGCAGCAGGTAAACGCGCAATCTGCCTGGCACGACTGGGGTGCCAATAGAAAATAATGGCACAATCAGCAGTCGTGTGCGATCCGTGACTGCCTGGTCATCGTGCACGAAACCGAGCGGATGGCTGGGTGGTCAGGGAATTGCACACCACCGCCGATTGTGCTGTCAGTGCCATTATTTTCTAATGGCACCCCAGTCGTGCCAGGCAGATTGCACTACAGCCCTGCCCGTGCGGTTGCACACGATCGCAGTTAAAACACTGCATTTATTTGCATGCAAATTGCAAGCACTTGTTGGTCAACGCGGTCACCTGACGGCACTGACCAATAAGAAGCGCTTCTTAGCACTGCTAAATACGGTTCTGGTTAAAAAAAAAAATTTTTGTATCAGGACAAGTAGATTGTCATGAGGGACAAGTAGAATCGGCCCCATAGCTTTGGCCCCCGCTTTAGCCCTTGGACAAGTAGTTTTAAAAAAAAAAAATTCCCCACCCCTGCCTGTAATTTGACATATATTAATGGGTATTTTCTCTGGTCTAAACCTGTAAATCTGGTTACTACACACCCTTACATTGAGTCATGAAAAAAACATCTTGTCGTTTTAATCTGACTAAAGCTGATATTTAATTTTTGTGGATGTTTGTAGTCTTTTGACTGCCTTCAATTTTTTATTCCTGCTCCATGATTTAAGTGCCGGAATTTTCAGCTGCATTTTACAGACGGCACTTGGAGTTAGTTTGGCAAAAGGGATCTTGAATTTGGAAACGGCCCAGGGAGTTCTTACCGCTGCCGTTTCTCCTTTTTAAAATATTGCCATTACCATGATTTCAAGGAGTGTTTTATATATGTGGGACTTTTGATTCCTGAGAATTTTTCCCTGCACTTCAATTTAATTTTGCTTACTATATTTTAACTGTTTTCCTCTTCTTGCTCCTTTTTTATGTATTTCTGAGAATAAATATTTTCTTTACCCTTCCTTTTTGTGTTTCACATGATCCTTTTTTTTCCTTAGCATTCTATCTCACCAAATACCCAATGGGCAGAAGCTTAAGAGGAAACGTGAGCGAGTGGAGAAATTGGAGAAGAAAGGAGTTCTTCCTCGATCAGAACGACTTCTGAGGGCACAGCTAAACAAGCCCAAAACGCTCAAACCAGAAGCCAACAACAACCCATCTCGGGGATTCTATGACATGTGGGGAGACAATAGTAAGTAAAATGTACTGCAGTACTTCAATTCTGTAATGACTTTCCTACTTGCTTCATTGTATGCATTCTTTCTTTGGCAGATCCCTTGGATTCTGCGCTGGAAGGAAAAGATCAGTGGTTTCTGCAACAGACCAAAAAGGGTCATGTCAAGGCAAGTGCTTTCTGCTCTTTTAAAAATGTTTAGTAAAATACAAAAAGGGTCACTTAGTGCCATCTTTCTTCCATATAGAAGAGGGCAGCTTCCTCCACCAGTATTGCATGGGATCCCAATGCAGCTTTTCTTTTCCATATTACTGACATGCCTTTATTCTGCACTGTCTGTGTGATGGCAGCCATCTTTGTAGTGAAGCAGCATCTATATTAGAGGTGTCTCCCTAAGCACTGGTGGTCAGATGAATGGAAGGGTGATAAGTTAATGGTGGAAGCACAACAACTGCTTCCTCTCCAGCAAGGAGCAGCATAGTAGTGGCATCACAAAATCTCTTGACCAGCAGTTAAAAGCACAGTGCCTTGATGCTCTCACATTGCAGATATACACAAGTGCGTAGCCAGTCTAGCCATGTCGGGGAAACACTGCTTTTAGGCGGAATTAAAGGTGACGTTTTCAGGGTACTTGTTTTAGATACATTTAACACTTCTAGATTTTCCTGTTTGAAGGCAAATCTTCATCTTTGTTCAGGTCTACTAAGTACTTGCCTGAATGTGACCCTTTAGGATAGCCAGTGCTCTGTGTCCTCGTTGGAAAGGTATATTCTCCAACCAGTAGTCTGGCTTCTATCTGACTTTATGTTCCCCTCTGCTGCAATAGACCTGTTTTCCACCAATCGATCCCTGAAGCTTGGCTCTGTTTATCGAGAGCCAACATGACGGGTTAAGCATTCTTCATGCAGGCATAAAAATCCTGGCAGGGTGTCGAGTTTTTATTTATTTTTCTTTCTAAATGATTACTGGCTTGACTCGGTAGGAATGACTTAAAAAGCCAATGAGGTTTGCTTTGTTTAGGAGAACCTAGCAGGAAAACTGGTAAGATAGCAAAATTATGGACAGCAGTGATTAAAGGTGAGACCTGATGCAAAACATGAGGCCCTGGTATCTGGTGCAAGTGTATAGTCCATACTGGAAAAGCAGTTCTTTGTGCCCAGCCATCTCTAGGCTGTCTGTAGATGACTACTATCCCCCAGTCAAGTTTTGTGTTCTGTAGGAGATTGGCGACTAATGGGAGCCGCCTTTCCTATCTACAAATCATCTTGTTTCATTGCCATATATTGGATAACTGCAGTCATTTACCAAAGATAAGTAAAAAGGGACAAACATTCCCTTTTTGAGTCCCCATCTATTTCTTGTGCCTAACTGTAAAGCAGATCATAACTCGACCATCCCCATAATCCCCCAACATTTTTTATCTGACCTTTTCACTTTTTTTTTTTCCCCCCTTTTCTGCAGCGTCCAGATAGACTGAACAAGAAACCATCTCAGCTACCTGCAGTTGAAGTTGCAGCTCCCGGGGCCTCCTACAACCCAACATATGAGTCACACCAGGTATGGGACAGGTCGTATTATTTCTTCACTACTTGTCTGTGTGAACAAGTTAATTGCTGCAAACCTGTAATAGCTTCTGTGTATCTGACCAGTGCATTAGATTTCTGCTGTGGATCTATGTACATATCATATATAATGTACTAGAGTTTTTGAGCATATTAGTATTTCTATTCTAATTACGATTTGCAACTTCATCAAATATTGGGCTGACGGGTCTATTATAGGCTTCTAACAATGCCTCTTTGTAGAAGTTGTGCACATACAGAGACGACAAAGAAATTCATAATTTAACAGCAACCCGTGACAAATGCAGGCCCTCATCTTTACAACCAAGTTGTAACATAATTCCAGGAAAGTTTGAAATCACACTAAATAAATGTATTCTGCTTGCATTCAGTTGCCATTTGTATGGTCTCAATCACATCACTTACATTATAAACAGCGATTGTTATAAAGATTTGAGTACTCGGCCCGATAGTTTTTATTTGTAATGTGGTGTTTTTGTTTTTTTTCCCCAGGTGCTGCTCCTCCAGGCTCATGAGGTGGAAGTAAAGAAGCTAAAGGAAGAGGAGAAATTGGAGAGACAGTTGAAGCTCCCTGCTGGGGCTCAACTTCCTACAGAGGTTTGTCTCTAATAATCATCTGTTGGTGTTTCTGAAACATGCAACTATATCCTTCCTCTTGTCACTAGTATTTGCTGCGATCCCCAGATTAATGGATGGCTTTTTTGGGTTCGGTGGAAAACTTATTTCTTATGGAGTCCCAGTACAAATCTGTTTACCCATCTGTAGACTGTAGCAGGGGAAAGTAGACGATTTAAAGCTAAACTCTGGGCACCACTATTATAATATAACATTTTCTCCTTTCCTCTGGTGTATTAAAGTTTGTTTTTCCTTCAAATTGCATAAACATTCTGCTTATGGCTGGACATGTTGATACAGCTTCCACTGTACTTTGGCCTCTCTTCTGAAACCAGCACTGGTGTTGTCTCTGCACCATGTGTAGGCTAGCACAGTCTGTGATGAAGTTGCATCACACTGTTTTGTGAATGGCCAAGCTTACACAGGGTGTGGGGACACAACACCAGCGCTGCTGTTGGCAAGAGAGTGGAAGTACAGTGGAAGCTGGTCCAACTCTATAATCTGAATTTTTATGCCGTTTAAAATAAAGGGGGGGGGTGGTACACATTTGCAGGGATGAGGAGATTACGAGTGTAAAGAGAATTGTGGTCCTCGAAGTTCAGTTTTAACTCTTGTAGATCAGTTTTATGGTTAAATCAACCTTTTATTTAACACAGGCTGACCAAGTAGCATAAAAGTGGTTAGAGAGTACAACATATGATTAAGTGGTGCATGTTCATGGTAGCAATAATGAGTAAAACAAGGACAGACTGTCATTGCAGTGGGGGGCCTTGAACTATATGTGTACGTACGTATTCATATAGGTGGAATGTCTAAGGTCTGTCATGTAGGGAAGGAGAAAATGGAAGAAAGCGGCAATGACTGTATCCCTGACAGAGTATAAATACATATAGCAAAGTCAGAACTGAACTTCAAAAATTCTCTGCTTACCTAAGCGGAAGACAGAACAATCTACAAAACTGAGTGAGTAGTGTAACCATAATGCCCAAAGTGAGAAAAATCAATCATAAGATCCCATATATAAAGCCATAAGTTCCTCTATGTGCATGATATAATTAACTATGCTCCCCCAATGTGAAAGGAAGGGTCTTCCAATAGAGAAATTAGTTGTTTTGGCTGCAGAGGGAAGGAATATGAGCATAGATTTCCGTTGATGTGTTCTGTGTCCAGGGAGGATGGACAGCAAGGCAATTTCGGGAGCGGGAATACATTTTATCACTAAGGTCATTATGAAAAAAAAATTTGACCAAAAAAGTTGTATTAACAGGCAGTCCCACCATAGATTGAGGTAAGTACCCCTGGATTCTCTATCTCCACCAAACCTCAGAGTTGTAGATCAGTTTTAACAAAACCTCATTCCACTCCCTTCCTTGCCTTCACCCAAAATGTTTACTGTAAATACAGACCTCCAGTGTATACATAGGTCTCACTGCATTAGCCAGCCCTGGGCTATATACTGCTGCTCTTGTGCCAGCCATCAATATAATAGTCTGGCGATTATCTATTGTCCTCTGTGGGATAGGCTGGCAAATGTTCAGCATGTTCACAACTGTCTAACTTGCATTACACATTGAACAAGGTATCACCACAGATTTGTGTAGCTCCTCGTGCCTTATGCGGACTGTCAAAATGATGGTGAAAAGCTAAACGCATGATCTCTGTACTTCCAGGAAAGCCGCCTACAAGAACTGTGTGAGGGTCTAGTGGAGGAGTCTGAAGATGACATGGGTGAAGAAGAGAGCGAGGCGCAAAAAACCGCTTGTATGCCTCGGAGAGAGCGAAAGACTGAGCGCCAGAGGAGGAAGGAGAAAGAAGCTAAATTTCGGGTAAGGAATTTTAGCTGTTGAACATTGGGCAAAGTTCAGTTATAGGCAATAAAAATATCACCTTGCACTACATTTCATTCTATGATTCCGGTAGCAGTGTAAATGTTTCTGTGCACCTTTTTAGCAAACATTTTTCAGCAAACATTCACTTGTGTTAATCACAGTCATTTAAACACAAGAACCTGTGAGATTTACCTGCAGTGAATGTTTGAATGTGAGATTCACTGCTTTAAAAATACGCCCCTATGTGTGCTTTAAGTAAACTATAACTGGCTGAACTAGACATTTTTAAATACGGGAGTCTGACATTTTTTCCAGAGCCCTGAAACCAGTTTGCTTGCATCCTCTACATTTTTTTATTTTTTTTGAGGAGTCCATCAATCTAATAGGCAGCAATCGCAGACCCAGTAGGGGGGAGCTTGACAATTTTCTGCCTGAAAAAGTAAAGCTAGCCGCACACCGGATTCCGCTGGAGGCTTGTACCACATCACTGGTGTCCTGCCCAAGGTCTGCCCCCTGTGACACGTTTCACCCAATCACAGGCTTAGACGTAGAGTCTTCAACTAAGCCCGTAATTGGGTGAATTACATCTGAGGGTGCAGACCTTGGGTATGATGCCAATGATATGTGGTACAAGATTTAATAACCTATTTCAGTGGAATCCAGGTGCGGACAGCTTTTCTGTTTGTATGGGCTCATATTGCTGTAAGGACACTCTCCCAGCTGCAAGCACCCAGCTTATTCATTCTCTGAGCCATGGAGGAGCGGTGCTTCTTTTTTGTGTTCTCCTTGCGCATATAGAATTTTTTTATTTTTAAATCAATATGTCTTAAACGTATTTCAGTGTACCATATACAAGTAAGTTTAAGAACAATTGAAACATATGACAACCACTAGTGAAAATCTGCCATGTAAAAGCCAGCAGCTTAAAAGTAGACCTGCGCTGGGATGACCCAGATCATGCTTAAATATTCCAGCCAGCAATATGGAAGGGTACCAAGTGATGTCAAATATATGTTACACAATAGAGGGCATCTGCATCTTATAACTGGATGAAAAATCTAAGACTATACTGATTAACTGCATACGGCATTAAAGTAACAATCAAAGTGGTGTGAATATCGAGTACAATCGGAAAAGCCCCCTAATGGTCTACTATATAACCTAATAGAAAATGAAATGCGTAATACATAGAGAACAGTGACGCATATATTGCAGCGAGGGAGAACTGCAAAAACGACATGATTAAATAAAATAACGGTGATTCCACTGATAACCTACATGCAGAGTGAACAAGGTCAAATGTAAAAGCAGTATAACATTGACACAAACCTGGAAAGCCCTCTGATGATCTAGGTAACCTGAGCAGAAGATGTGGAAGGTGCCTCCCAGGAATAGGAAATAGGTCTGGCGTCAGCAGTGGAGAGAACTTCATGCGTATCGCTGCCAACTGCTGCTTTGTCAGGAATCCTTTCCCTTTTTTCTTGCATAGTGGGAAAAAGAGTGGCTTATTTTGTAGGTTACTAAATTACACCTTGGCTAGGAGATTTAGTGCTTGTGCTTCTGCTTTTAACCTCTTGCCGTCCACCCGTAGTAAAAAAACGGACGGACGGCACTGCAGCATCTGCGGGTTGCCGTCTCCAGACGGCAATTTTTTTCTGCTCGTGCGCGCCCCCTAGTGGGCACGGGCAGAAAACCCGCTAAATGCACACACCCGTTACCGGGTGTTTCACATATAGGCGATCGGCGGGAATGTAATAATAAATGTTTTATCATTTAATATAGGGGAAACTGTTTTTTTTTTTTTTAAATTTCGGTAATTTTTCCTTAATATAGTAAAAAAATAAAACCCCCAGTGGTGAATAAATACCACCAAAAGAAAGCTCTATCTGTCCCCAAAAAAGGGTATAAAATTCATTTCAGTACAGCGCTGCATGACGGAATAAATGTCAGTTAAAGTAGCGCAGCGCTGAATACTGAAAAATGGCCTGGATGGGAAGGGGGTTTAACACCGCGGATGTCAACTGGTTAAATAGCATTCATTTTATTAAAGATGCGGAGGGTTCTTAAAAATTCTGGCTCCTTCTTGGTTCACATGTATTTGTAAGCAAATTCACAGCTCTAAGGCCCATTGAGCTGCAGAATGAGACCCGCTGCTCTGTTATTAAACTTTACAAACAGATTTATATTTGGAGCTTTCCTGAGGTCTAGTGACCTCGTCGTAGAGTTAATCAGCGATGCCCTTCTCAGGCTCTAAATCCCTGCTTGATGATTCAGTACCAGCTGGGCATACAGCCAGAACCAGCTTACACTCCCACTCCTTCCTGAGTCCTGTGACTTCTCAGTCTGCTGTCAAGGTGCGTTCTCCGTCTGACACTCTATGCTTCTGCTTTTCCCTGCACAAGTTACTGGGGCTCGGGTTTTCTACCTTTTGCACTGACTGGAGTGCATTTTCCCTTTCTAAATTCTAACATTGGATTTTTAGTTAGGATTTTTAAAGCAGGTATAGAGGCACCCACGGGTGGAGAGAGAAGTCAAGGCATCAGCCTTTTGTCAACGGAGCTCAGTCCATCTTTATCAAGATTAAGATGGACTGGGCTGCATCGACACATTGACAATAAAATATTGATTCTTTGACTTCTCTCCACTGTATGACCTATGAGTACCTCTGTACCTACTTTTGGAATTGTATGGATATTTTTGTTAAGAACCCGGCATTAACCTTACAAATAGGGTGCAGTATTAAAAAAAAACAAAAGCAAAAAACCTCTCTCCTCCTCACGTCATAGTATATGATGTCCTAACGAGCACTGTGGCCATTTACACTTCCAGACAACCCATTAAATTACAACCTGAAAGGAGGGGGCACTTGCACAGCATCAAAGTGTTAAGCTGTCTCTTGCGGACACTACCCTGTGACCTGACCTTGATTTCATCTTAGAAGTGGTAACTTGGGGTTTGAGGGCAAAGCTCCCACTTTAGCGTATGGCCTTCATACTATATTATAAAAGACCAGTGCTTAGGAACAACCCCTAGCATGTGTCACCTTATCTTAAACTTTTATTACCAGTATTTGGTCTCTTAAGGTAGGTGTGTGTGTGTGTCCAGATGCAAAAAAAAATACCCCCACACTGCAAGGGATAACGGCTCGTTTTTCCCTAGGAGGATTCTTTAAAATCTGTTTTTACTTACCAGATCCTAGTTCCCATTGTGGTCAGCAATTGCCTCTTATCCACACCCAACACCTTCTCCACACCCAACAAACTTCCCTGTAGGTGTAATGGTCCTTTAGAACTGTACTGTTGTCTGTCTGACCACCAGAAGTTGTTCCCCCTTAGAGAAGGGGTAGAGAATTAAAATTCTGGTGAGTAAAATTGTCACCGAGCACATGTTCAAATCGCTGTCCGGACAGAAGTCACTCAGTCTGTGTCCATACCACGGTCCCCCATTTAGGTACCATTCACACCAGCAGCTGCACTACAATGCACAGCTGCTGGTGTTCCCAGGCACAGTGCTGATGCTGATTTTTTTTTTTTTTTCTTATCGCCTTTCAACATTCACAGTGAGTGCATGAAAACTGGTTTACAGTAGGATCTTGCGTGCATTTTTTCAGGCATTTTAATGTGTTTAAGGCGTTTGTTTTTTTTAGTTTAGCCCTTTTTTTTTTTAAATCATTATATTCAGCCAATTGACTAGTTACTAGGCAAAAAAGCTAGAAAAATACAAATATTTCAGGTGCTCCCATTAAAGTCTTCTTTTTTAGGGCCAGAACACTCGACACTACTCCAAAAGAAATGTACTTTTCATAAGAACTGAAGAAGCAGCTTGCATAAGCATTTAAATGTCTTTAACATTGCAGAACAAGGCCAGTTTAATGTGATTAACTACTGCCAGCTAATAACGTCAGTATTTTGAGTCCGTGATCCTGAACAAGAATGCAGATTAGGAAAGTCAGGCGTGTCTGAGACACTGATTTGGAACCAGAAAGCAGATCTAAGCACTGAAGCCAACAGATCAAATTAACAAGCATATTTAGAGGGAAATATTATTCATGGCAGCCCCTTTTATCTTAAAACAGATTTCCTTTAGTACAGACAAGGTGACGGTTAGAAGAACATGCAACACTCCTGATATTCTGGCGATAAGGTCTGATGTTCTCTTCCATGCAAACTACATTAGATCTACATGTACAGTAAAAGCCCTTTAATAAACTCAGTCTGGCTTAAATGTTTAATAAACATTTAAGCCAGACTATGAATTCATAGTCGCTTGCTTGTAGTAGAATGGATTGCTGTGGTTTTTGTATAGGTGAAAACTCTTTGTTCTGGTTTTTTCTTTTTTTCTTCAGAAAGTCCGACAAGACGCAGAAAAAACAGATCGGCTGCGACGTCAAGGCCTCTTCCAGCTGAAGTCCCTCCATGCATCCCTGAAGACCAGACAAGGCGAGCTCTTAAAACGCAAGAAGCTTCGCGAGGAGAAACGCAAATTACAGGCCTTACAACCACGGCGCTTGGGTCGTCTCAGGTAAGGACCAATAAAAAGCTGTTTCCTGTATACCAATACATTGCTTTTTGGGGGAAGCTAAAACAGAACTGTATCAAATGGCTACATGCAAGTCTTCTCCAGAGAAAGCTGAATATAAAGTGTTTTCAGCCTGACCTTTACAACAATGTGTGTGTTTGGATTGATCACTAAATTTAGCTAGGTTCATTAGAACATTTTTGAGAACCTACAGAGATTTGTCACCTTGTGTATTTCTGTAGGACTCTGCCCTGTGATGAGACACATCCTTGCGCTGCGAGAATTTCCAGCGTGACATGCTGGAAATGTGATGCCAAGATTGGGTGCCCTGGGGTAGTGGTGTGTTTGCCATCCCTGGGGTCTGAGGGCAGAGAATTGGGGAAAGGTCATTTAACTTGGTGTGTCACCTTCCCTAAATAAATCATGTTTTTGAACATGCTCCTTTTTATTGGAACTGATGTGTGGATTGCTAGCCATGCAGAAAAAAAATCACTGGAGATGGATAAAAGAATTTCTAAAAATGTGACCCCCCCCCCCCC